CCAGCCTGGGCCACTTAGGGATTTGGTGAGACCCTGTCTAAAAATAAGAAATAAAAGCCTGAGGATGCAGCTCTGTTGAAAGGCCCTGGATTCAGCCCTGTGTATGTGTGTTGGAAATGTTAAGGGGCAGAGGTTAAGGGAAGATAATTAAGTCCTTGGAAGGATTAATATAGTTCTCATATAGTTAGTTCCCACCAGAAGTTTTTTTTTTGGGGGAAAGGGTCCTTCTAAGATGCCAAAGTCAGGCTCAAACTTTGGTGATTTTCCCGGAGTACTCGTATATATAATTTTATTTCATTTATTTATTTTTTATCTTTGTGAGTCAGGGTTTCACTATGTAGTCCAGGCTGGTCTTGAACTTGCTATATAACCCAGACTGGCCTCCAGTTTACAGCAATCCTCCTGCCTCAGCCTCCCAAGTGCTGGGATTACAGGCAAAAAAAAAAATTATATATATACGAAACTGGTCTCAAACCCAGGGCCTGTGTATGGCTAGGCAACTGCTCTACCACTGAGCGACATCCCCAGCCCCTCAGGTTTTTGCTGTAACAGTGGAAAATGGACCCACACGCGTTATGCTGTTTATTTCCATTTCCCCAATGGTTAGGATACACATGTAGGAGGAAACATGGCTTGTGGGAGCGAAGAGGGAGCCTCTGAGCCCCAGTGGCCTCCAAGAACTTTAGGTGATTGTATTTGAATGGAGGCCAGGCAGTGAGGCCGCTAGTGTGTCGGGAGCGGTACGAGCACCCAGGCTCGCAAGCGGGAAGCGAGCGCTGTGTGTTTTGCTGGAAAATAGTGAATAATTGACCGTGGGTGGGTGCTGGTGGGTGCGAGGGTTTGCACGGTGGGCAGTGCTGGGCAATGCGGGGCTGTAGGCCATGGAAAGGTATTTGGGCTTTCAGCAGAACGGACAGGCAACAAGACAGGGGTGACAGGCGTGAGGTCGCAATGGGGCGCGGCGCCTGTGCTTGTGGGGTGCACACGGGAGACACGCCGTGTGCGCCTGGGGACTCCCAGCCTCCCAGGATCGGGATGTGATCGCTAAGGACCTCCCCCTCCCCCGCAGCCCCGCCCGCCGCCCCAGCCAATGAAGCTCCCCGGCTCCTATCACCGATCTGGGGCCAGCGAGAAGGATCTGTACCCCTATTTAGGGGCTTAGGCCAGATACCTTCAAGGGTCTGAGGACAGGGCTCCCGGCTTGAGACCAGGAGAGGGCTCCTCGCCCGCTTTTGGCAAGGAGCAGGGGACGCAGGGGCCTGGGGAGAGAGCGCGGCGTCTGCAGTACCGGGAAGGGCCGCGCGAGGGCGGGAGGGGAAGGGCCGCGGAGGAGTGGGGAGGGGGAGGGGAGGGGCAGGGGGACAGAGCTTCTGGGCCCTTGGGCGGCTGAGGGCTTCTGTCTGCGCGGCTCCGTGGTTCGGTTCGGTTTCTGCCTCCAAGTGTCAGTGTGGGGGAAGAAAATGAAGTCATCCCATTTCTCAGCATGTCCTCCCAGGCCCAGGGAAGTACAGCATTTGCCTATGGTCACCAGCAGGGGGATTCAGCCCCTGCCTGGGCGGTCAGCTCCAACCGCTGCGCACCCAAATGGACTCACCTGGGGAGTGCTCCTATCCTTGTCTCCCGGCCTCACCTTGCCCCTCTGATCAGGACACCCAGCCTCCTGCCCCCGTCCACAGGGCCAGAGCAGCCCCAGGAGGGGGCTGGCACTTGAGGCCCTTTGCTGGGGCCCCTGAAGGTGAGCTGTGGTGTGTGTGTGTGTGTCCCATGCCATGGTAACCATGGGATACCAACATCTGGTTGTAGGCCTTGGTGAGCCTTCCCCTGCCTCTAGGTCCCGGCCAGCACTGCTGAATCCGCTCTGAACACGTGTTCAAGGCAAGGATACAACCAGGGTCCCCCTAAAACGCGCATCCTCCCACTCCTGGGAGCACGATATGGCAGTTTGGCTGTCCCTAGGGGAAAGATACGGTTTCAGTTTTAGACTAAGGACGAGGGAGGAGCAAGGAATCATCTAGGACTGTGTAGCAAGGTAGGGCCAAGGCCCTGCTTCTTTCTACTCAGAAAGGACTGGATGGCCCAGGAAAGTGGGTCAGCTTGTTGTATACACCCACAGGCTCAGCGTGGAAGGGCAGTCACCTGGCCTCCTGCTCCTGAAAATCCTCCCTGACTATGCCCTCTGCCATCAGTGTCAGAAATGACCTCAGAAATGATGTTTGCTTTCTTCTTTTTTCTTGTTCTTTTTGTTTTTAGACAGGGGCTCATGTAGTTTAGGCTGGCCTTGGATTTACTATAGCCCAAGTTGGCTTTGAAGTTGAGGCAATCTCCCTGCTTCAGCCTCCAGTTGCTGGGACACAGGCATGCGCCACCACACCCTGCAGAAACAGTGTTTTCTATCTGGTTTGGGAGGCCAAAAGTTCACGCTGAGCTTCTTCACTGGACCCGAGAGACTTTCGCTCCATTTTTCCGGCCAGCCTAGAAATCCCCTGTCTAGTCCTCCTGACGGGCTCCCTGTCTTGCTGATGAGGAGCTCACTGGTGCGTCGTACGGCAGTTTTGGGGTGTCTGAGCTGGCCGGCTGTGCTGCGTGGCTATGGGAACCGGCCAGCCTGAGCTGCACAGAGCAAGTGGCCTCTCTGCTGCATGCAGGCCTCAGATGGTGCCTGCCAGAGAAGTCTGTGTTCCCTCCCTGTTCCATAAACAAGATTTCCAGCACTTCATCACCTGGGCAGCTTGCCACTGGGTGCACTGTGGCTGGGACTGGCTCCTTCTGTGGTGACAGTTTTTTTCTCAATACATAAGAAGATATGTGTTTGTTACCGGGAAAAGTTATTCCTGATTTCACCACCCAAAGATCATTCCCTCTAGTTGCTTGGGGCCACATTTCCTGAGCTGACACCTGTGTGTGTTAGAGTGTGAAGCAGAGCAGGGTGTGGTGGTGCATGCTTCTAAGCTTAGTACTCAGGAGACTGAGGCAGGAGGATTGCCATGAGTTTAAGGACAGCCTGGGCTACATAGTGAGTTCAAGACCAGCGTGAACTACATAGTAAGATGCTGTCTCAAAAAAAAAAACAAAAAACAAAAAACCCAAATAGGGCCAGGGATATAGCTCAGTGACACAAGTACCTGCCTGGCAAGTGCAAGGTCCTGAGTACAATTCCCGGTACCAAAAAAACAAATAAAGGTCAAAGAAACAAATAAAAATAAATAAATATATACATAAATAAATAAATACACCCCCAAACCCAAACCAAACAAAAAAATAAAGTGAGAGGCTACACAAGGTTAGCCTGAAGCTGATGGTAGGATGCCTCTCAGGGTAGACAGGCAACTTCTTTCTAACTTAATACCTCAAAGGACCATTTGGTTATAAGACTGGCCTGCTCTGTAAGACCAGGGATCAGCACAAAAAGAATGCAATGTCTGATGATGGAATTCCCTTCCCAAAGGGCCACGCTAGAGATGCAGGGAGCATTTCCCCAAGCACTGCCTTCCCCGCCCGCTCCCAGCAGCCACTCTCCTTCCACGGCCTTACTACTCCTCAAGCCACAGCAGCGTCCGGGAGCCAAGCAGACCAGTGTCCCACAGGCAGGCCCTGCAGAACGGAGATGCGAAGCCTATAGTCCTGAGTACCCCCAAGACCCCAGGCAAGGATCAGGGTGCCACGAACACGATCCTCATCCCATGCATCGTCACGTGGGGTGGTGTCAAGGTGACCCCAGAGACCTGCTTTTTAAGAAATCAAGTGCATATAGGGGCTGTTTTTCCACTGTAGCAAATATTTGTGATGTGTGATGCATCATTTCTGGGGGGGTTGCTACGGATGGAACTGAGGGACTCACACATGCTAGTACAGTGCTTCCCACCGGGCCACCCCCGAACCCCATGCTGCACCGCTTTTTAGTGTATTTATTTATGTTGGGTACCAGGAATCGAACTCATGACCTTACGCTTGCCAGGTAGGTACTGTGCAGATGAGCTATGCTCTGGCCCCGCTGCGTTTTTTAGTGGCCGTGTGCATCAAGGTGCCCATTTTCTCTAACCAGTGGCCTATTTCAGGGGATCTAAGCCAGCCACAGGTTTTTTTCATTATATTCAGTGGTTTTTTTTTGTTTTTGTTTTTGGTTTTTTTTTTTGGTACCAGGAATCAAACTGAGGACCTTGCACTTGCCAGGCAGGTGCTTATGCTGCTGAGCTATATCCCTGGCCCTATATTCAGTGCTGCACTGAACATTCCTGTAGCTTGCTCACACCATCTTTGTTTTCTTAGGACACATTCCCAGCAATGGGACAACTGGGTTGTGGGGCAGGAGCTCTGTAAGGCTTTTGATACCCGCTGACACTGCTTCCAAAGGTGATGCTGCTATGGGCTCCCAGCAGCTAACAGGTGTGTGCGTGTACCCACTTCCCACCCACACCACCGGCCACCCTTTTCCCCACGTTTTGCTGTTAACACTGGAAACATTTGAAGAAGTTGGACAAATTTCACAGTAAGCACCCATACAGCCATACCCAGATGTTACAATTGACAGTGTCTTAGCTTTATCATTCTCTGGGCAGCCCTCCTCTTTCAATTCTTTTTTTTTTTTTGTTTTTGTTTTTGTTTTTTTGAGACAGGGTCTTTATATGCAATTCAGGCTGGCCTTGAGCTCACTTTGTAGCCCAGGCTGGTCTCGAACTCTCAATGATCCTCCTGCCTCAGCCTCCCTAGTGCTGGGATTACAAGCGTGCACCACAATGCCTAGCCCAAACACTTCATGTGTATCATTAACTGAAGTTCGATATGTTTGCATGGTTCTTTCTTTTTCCCCAGTACTGGGGATCGAACCTTGGGTCTCGTGCACGCCAGGTAAGTTCTGTGCCACCGAGCCACATATTGGTTGGTTCTTTTTCTTTTTCATTTTCTTTTTCCTTCTTTCTCTTCTTCCTCTTCCTCTTCCTCTTCTCCTTGTCCTTCACCTTCTTTGTTGTGTTCTTCTTCTTCTTTTTTTTTTTTTTAAACAGGCTATGTTGCCCAGGCTGGTCTTGAACTTCTGGGCTCAACTGATCCTCCTGCCTCAGCCTCTCAAGTAGCTAAGACTATGGATATGCACCACTTCACCCGGCCAGTTCTTTGTCTAAGACAAAATATATATACAAGAAATGTGCTGTGATCATGAATGGTGTTACGTCAGTTTGACTTGAGTAAGAAGTGCCTGGTGATTAGTAAATTCCGGGTGGCTCTGTGGATGATTGACATGTAGGCCAACAAACGGAGGGGGAAGACCCACCCCAGATGCGGATGGCACCAACCAATAGACTTGTAGCTTGGAGAGACTAACAAGGGAGAAAAGAAGGAAGTGTCCCCCTTTTCTTGGAAGAGCGCCAGCCCTCGAACATTGGTCTACAGTTTCTTCAGGCTTCCAACTCAGAGCCACACCAGAGATTCCACAGTGAGCTTCCAGGCCTTTGATCTCCCACAGCTACCGGATCTGGGGCGCCGCCGCGTGCACACGGCCAGTTTGGGTTTTTCCGCCTCTGCGCCCGCACGTGGCTGTTGTGACTTCTGCCTCTGAGCCGCTAAGCTAATTTAATAATCCCTTTGTGGAATTATACACATATTTTATATTGGTTCTGTTCCTCTAGAGAACTCTAAGTAATACGTGCAGAAATCTCACGTATATCATTTGTTGAATTTTGACAAGAATGTGTATGGCCAACCATGCCAAGGTGGAGAATATTTCCATCACTCCTCAAAATTTCCCTGTTGGCTTCTCATCCGCACGGGTTTCTTTCTCCCATTGCTTAGTTTTGCCTTTTCTGGAATGTCAGAAAAATGGAATCACGCTCTGTGTATTATGTCTGGCTTGTTCCACTCAGCGTCGTGTTTTGGAGAATCATCCTGTTGTATATATCAGCAGTTTGTTCTTTTCTATTCCTACATAGAAGGCCATTGTATAGATACGTGATTGTTTGTTCAGTCGTTTGCCTTCTGATGGACTCCCTGGACTGTTTCTAGGTTGGACCGTTGTGAATAAAGCTGCTGTGACATTCTCATACAAGGTTTTGTGTGAACTTGTGTTTTCTGTTGGGTACGTATGAGCCGCATTGCTGAGTCACAGGGTAGGAGTAAGTTCAGTTTTATGACATTACTCAATCCATTTTCTACTCCCCTCTATCACTGAGTTCTCAGCTCAGGCCACAGTGGGGCTGCCACCTCTGCAGGTCAGGATGCCACACCTTGGGGACTATCCCTGACAGCCATATTGCCCGGGTTTGTGGCAGTTTTCCTGGAAATCAGCTGGGCACCTCAGGCTGTTTCTCATGGACAGATGAATGGACAGATGCCCAGCCCGCTCTTCTTCACTCTGAACTTGGGTAATTGCTCTGTTGGAAGCTGATTGTCAGCTTTTCCCTTTGTCCTCAGTAAGTCCCATCTGGTTGGCTTTGAGTTACCCACCCCAGGCCCCAGGCCCCAGGCCCCAGGCCCCAGGCAGTCCTGATAGCCATGAGACTCGCATACTAACACATACGCTGTCCCCAACCCTGAGCTGCCTCAAAGAGCCCTGGGATGAAGCTGTTATTATCCCCCTTTCAGAGAAGAGGAAACGGAGACACAGAGAGGTTAAGTAACTTGCCCAAGCTGACCCAGCAGAAAGTGGTAGAGCTGGGGTTAAAACCTAGGTATTCTGGCTCCAGATATTGTGGCTCCAGATATTATTGAGTAAGACACTAGGTCTTCATTTAAATCACTGGTTAAAAAGAAACAAAAACAAACAAAAACCTTTAGATCACACAAGTCCAGGATCAAAGACAGCAACTGATGACATGCTTCTAAAGACCTCTTCTTGTGTTCACCTTGTTCTATTTTTTTTTCTTGCTGTATATTTCAGGCTGGCCTTGAATTCACTGTGTAGCCTAGGCTGGCCTCCAACTTACAGAGGTCCTCCTGCCTCAGCCTCCTGCGGGCTGGAATTACAGGTATGCACCACCACAGCTGGCTCTTGTTCTATTTGTCCACACCCTGACAATAGTTGCATTACTGGCTGCAAAGTCATGGAACTGGGATCCAGCTGTGGCTCTCACCGTGATGTCAGCACAGTGTCCTTCACATCCCTTGAAAATGTCTGGAAACACATGTGTCAGAGCTTCCTGTGCAGATTCGCCCAGCCGGGGGCCTGACAAAGTGGAAGGAACAGGAGGTGGGGCTGCATGGCTCTTGTCTGAGTCCATGCAGATGCCCAGTGGCCCTCCCTCCCCTCTTGGTCCTGGACTCGTGTCTGACATGTAGTAGATGCTCAGTAAGTGCTTGCCACTTGTTTTAATAGGCCATTTGATTTTGTTTCTTATCGTGGCAAAATATATTTTAAATATGGACCTTAGTCGGGCACACTCAGGTTGTGGTGCAGTCATTGCTACTATCTATCCCAGAACACTGTTCATCATCTCTAATGACAGCCCTGCCATCTCCCCCACCCCAGGAGCATTTATTCCACTTCCTGTCTCTATGGCTTTGCCTATTCTAGATGTCTCACATATGGGATTCAGGAAATATTTATCCTTTTGAGCCTTTTTTTTTTTTTTGGTTTTTCTCCGGTACCGGGAACCGAACTCATGACCTTGCGCTTGCCAGGCAGGCGCTTTGCCGCTGAGCTAAATCCCCAGCCCCCTTTTGAGCCTCTTATTTTGCTTAGCTTCATGTTTTTAGACACTACATTGTAGCAAGTGTTAGAATTTCCTCCCATCCTTTTTTTGTTTTTTGTTTTTCTAAGACAGAGGCTCACTGTGTGTTCAGACTGACCTTGAAATCATTATGTAGCCCAGGCTGGCCTCAAACTTCTGATCCTCTTGCCTCAGCCTCCTGAGTGCTGGGATTGCAGGTGTGCACAACCATGCCTGGCAGAATTTCCTTCCTTTTAGAGTCTGAATATTCCATTACACAGGTATACTGACTTTTGCCAGGCATGGTTGCACATGCCTGTAATCCCAGCACTTGGGAGGTTGAGGCAGGAGGATCACTATGAGTTCAAGGCCAGCCTAGGTTACATAGTGAATTTAAGCCCAGACTGAACTTCAAAGCGAGACCTGAGACTTCTGCTAGTGCTGTCAGGATGAGGAGGCACCTTCCCGTGGAGAGGCACATGAGCTCGTGCTGCCTTAGCTGGTGGATGCTCTGTGGGAGGAAACTGCCTGGCAAGGGTACTGGTGGAGGGGGGTGCTGGGCTACAGGTGTGGAGGAGGACCAAGTGGAGGGCCTGGTGCCACGGCACGAAGCTGGAGCAGTTCCAGGCCTTGACTTTCCATTGACAGGAGCCCCTTCCCACCCAAGTAGTTTTTTGTTGTTTTCAGACAAGGTCTCACTGTGTAGTTCAGGATAGCTTTGAACTCACTGTGTGACCCAGGCTGGCCTTGAACTCAGGGCAATCCTCCCACCTCAGCCTCTTAAGTGCTGATATTAGAGGCATGTGCCACCACGCCTGGCTTCCAGCCAAATAGTTTTAAATTGTGCTTCTGTCCCTTGGAATCATTTACAGTGTGCTGGGTGTGGAGGCACACACCTGTAATCCTAGCACTTAGGAGGCTGAGGCAGGAGGATTGCTGTGAGTTTGAGGACAGCCTAGGCTATATAGTGAATTCAAGGCCAGCTTGAATTCATAAAGCAAGACCCTGTCTCAAAAATAGAAAAATCATTTACAAAGTACTTCCCTGAGCTCCTAGACTGGGCAGTTAGTGAGGTGTGGGTAGAGCCTGCAGGGCATGTGTGTAGCTCTGGGATAGAGGGGCTGAGTGCATGGGGGACCTCACCAGGGCTGGACGGAGGAGGACATGGGTTTTAGTTCCTTACTTGTCATTGGGAAGAATCCCCGACACCTGGAACTTGAGGAAAGGTTTATTTTGGCTCAGTTTCCGGGGGCTTCAGTCCATGCTTGTTGGCCAGTGTGGAGGCAGAACCGGCCTGGGGTGACCCACAGCTGCTCACTCTTGGCGGCAGGAAACGGAGAGAAGGAAGAAGCCGAGGCGCCTGAGCCACAGTGACCCGCCTGCTCTGCCCAAGAACAGCGCTTCCTGATAGCACCTTTAGCTGTGGACTTGCTGGTGGGTGAATCCACTGCTGAGCGTGGAGACCTCCGGCTCCACCCCCGACGAAGCTTTCACAGCCGTGTTAGACCCAAGCCGTGACGGCATGAGAACAGATTCATCTTGGCCCTGCTTGGAGGGGCTTTCAGACCGTCAGGGAGGACGAAGATGTTAATGTGGGCGAGCAGCAAGCTCGGCTAGGATAGAGCCTTCCCACGCGTGGGGTGGCGAGTAGGGTGGGAGACTGGCTCAGCCCGAGCCGAGCTGTTCCCGGAGCTCCTCTGACGCACAGGGGAGGTGGAGGCCGGGCTCCATCACATCCCGGGGAGTGATCTGGGGCGAGTGCTAACTCTCAGGGAGCGTGTCCTGAAAGCCAACAGGAGCGGAATGACGTCCCCCTAGTGGGCTGCTGCTAGGCTGGACCGGAACAACGCGCCAGGCTGAGCTGGGCCCGGCTCTTAGGTCCAGGTGTTCCCGCGCGCACAGCCTGGAGGTGCAGTTCCTGTGGCCACCAGGAGGTGGCGCCACGACCCCAAAAGACCCTCACCGCGGGGCTCCTTTTCGCGGGGCTCCCCCAGGGCTTGGGCGGGGCGGGGTCTGGGTCTCGCCTCGTTAGACGCCTAACGGGCAGAGGCTGCGTGTCTGCGCAGCCCTCGATGCTCAGCGGTCGCGGGCGTGGGGCAGAGGGGCCCTCGGTCGCCGCGGGGAGTCGGGGGCCCCGTTTTGTCAGTGTTGGGCGAGGGCGTGGCTTTCGAGGACGACCTGGGCAGAGTTGGGGCGGGCTGAGGTCGCACCTCGGGAAGGACTTCCGGAAAGGCGCCGCGGAGGCCGGTGGCAGACTCCGGCCGCGGGCGCTCGGGCCGGCGTCGGGGCCGGGGGTGCCCC